TACCGGAAATCATGGGCATTACTGAAATCCCATGCTGTGGCATGGCATTCAACTAATCGGTCAGTTGGCTTGACAAACATAGATTCCTCCCAGAACGGTGGGGGCGCTTCTGCTAACCCCATGGACGTGAAGAAATCGTCGGCTGTATGAAACATTTTGTCAACCGTGTAGTTCTGTAAAATGTGAGAAATACGTCGATATATATGCGCACAGTATATTAAAATAAATACTTGGAATGGAACAACCTGAGTTTGTTTCCTGTTAAAGCGAGGGAGTCGTCACCTGTGCATGCGGCAAACAACCATAGCATGTCGTCAATAATGTAGTTGTTTACAAACAAGCGTCTACCCATGAGCCTTTGCGCTTTAGCGCGTGTTGTTATCGTCGCTCAGGACTCAAGTCTCGCGCATGCGCAGATGACGACCCCTCCACTTTAATTAAACACCAACTTCAAACTGTATCCGTAGGTGCAACTTGGCCACGTGATCTTTATTGCGAATTACCGCGAAGTATTTAGTAACGCATTGTGGCGCGTACTTGTCATATCCATATCACAGCATAGTCTGAAACGCTCGTAGCTAATTACCTGTGCTTTCATTTCATCGGTGACGTCAACGTTTGTTCCACCGGAATATGGTTCGACGAGGCTATAGAGATTATTCCAAAAGCGCCCCCACATGTCACCTAATATTTAGAGCATGGTCAGTAGAAACGTTAAAATGCATTCACGTTAGGTCACCCATTATCAAAGTGTATGCTATCTTCCATCAGCATACCCAGCGCCGTTGACTATTCACAGTCAATTTGATACAAGGTGATACGCCGAAATGCATTTGTCTCAGTAAACTTTCCTATCCATTATTGAATGCTGCAGTCAATATTGGCAAATACTGACATCCCATAATAACATTACCCTTAGTAGCAACCCTCCTTAAATAAAAAAACAACGCTCTTACGTTAAGGAAATAAATAACAATTTCAAATACTCAATAAATGGTCAAAATGCAAACATGCTAGTAATACTAAGTCACGAATCGCACGTGTATGATATCCAGAACTCGTTTGTCCGGTATTTATCACAAATTCGGTCAGTCACTCCTATAAGTTAATGATGTACAAATTGCAGACATACAATACGTCGTAACCATCGTAACCATCACAGTAATACACAAAATTACCTAATACATTAGCTGGTAGACATCCCTTATCAAGGTTTATCTTATCACCCACCCCATCACAGTAATTGTACATCCCTTACCTAATACATTACCTGGTAGACATTCCTTATCAAGGTTTATCTTATCACCCACCCCGTCAAAGTAATGGTACACCCCTTACCTAATACATTAGCTGGTAGACATCCCTTATCAAGGTTTATCTTATCACCATACACCTCTTTCAATCGATATCGTACATATGCATGGAGTTTCTCGTATAATGGTTTTATGTCTTCATACATCTGTTCCATGTCTTCCTCTAGATCATCATCTTCATAATTACCTCTCCAGTAATCACCATAATCTTCGTATCCTTAGAGCAAATTAATTTGTATACAAAAGAAACAACTTGAATTGACTTTTGAATTTATGCAAAATATCGTATATATTAGATTGAGTATACAAAGTTCAATTACCATTCATAACCGATGCCTTATTCTTCAGTGTAACATAATCAGAATAAAGCTGACGCATTGGTCGACCCACATTGTTTCTCCAGTGTTCCCATACCCATAGGCGTTCGGCATAGTCTCGCGAGTTTGCCATGATACTTGTCAAATCTGATGAGAAAGAAAATGAATGAATGAATAAATTGTGGATGATTTTTCAAAGTACTAGTAGTTGTTTTCTAATTGTCAGTGGGCCATAGCGTGTCATTGTTTACAAACAAGCGTCTACCCATGAGCCGTTGCGTTCTTAGCGTGTGTTGTTATCATCGCTTGGAACTCAATACCCGCGCGTGCGCAGGTGACGGCCCTCCCGCTTTAACATTTGTTCGTTACTTTTGTATACATGTAAGACTTCTCTAATATTAACTAAGTGTATGTACGTTGCAACAAATAGTTACGCGGGAAATAATAGATCAACATCTACTCTTATATTGTAGTAGATTACAACTTACAAGGATCCTGTGCATGGCAGTCAGTGTTGTCATCTGGTTTACACACTTTTCCAGTGGCGTAAAAATAACTCATGTTGGCTAGAACATTCTGTAACTGGTACACATCAAACAAGAAACGAACGTTATTAATAGACCATTTTCCGTACACTGCGAGAATCACGCGTTATGCGTGAAATCGAACGTAAAAACAGGACAAACAAAGGTCATAGCGTCGTAGTGGCGTCAAACATCGCGTGGGATTCGACAAACACGAAAGTATTTTGGGGACATTTCCATGCTTAATAATGTGCTGTCCACATTTGATGATAGGCAATTTCGATTAAGTAAGGGTATTCGGAAGCAATATTCCTCTGTCGAAGATCGGCCGGTCGGTGTGAGCTACGAAATAAGGAAATTCGAGTTCAAAATCAAATCGTTCGATTTTTGCGGCAGACGTTCGACGCGCGTCTTTCATGCATCTCGCGAGATCTCGCAATTGTACGGAAAATCACCTATCCCCATCGTATAAGTTTGTAACGATCTCCGATTATGCTACGTAAATCTCCTAGGACTGTTGAAATACTGATCGGGAAAATTGAAATGTTGCGCTCTCAGATACGCGGTACATTGGTTCATTAGTTTATATATCAGACGATATTAGATGAGAGAGAGACCTGTTCAGCTCAAGGTCCGTCATTATCAATCATAATACTGTTACATCAATGTTGCAATGATTCCTAGAAATATAACTTTAATAGCGCCAGCAATCATTATCTGTAGACTTACTTGTTCGAAATCCTCGTCATCAAGAACAGCTGTTCCTATGGCGGCGATGAAATTAAGCTCCCTGGCAACTGGCTCACTGTAGTCATCTACATCGCTTAAGTATTTTTTCGCTTTCTCAGCTGAAGTTGAAGAAAAGTTTGCAGCTTTCCCAGCTTCAATTTGCTGCACAGTAAACCATATAAGATAGATTGTAAACGTCAAGTTGTTCAGTCGGCTGACAGATTCCACAACATATCAGCAAAACAATACTATATATTCTTAAGGACATATTATATTATTATAATATTGCGTTGATTATATTGTTAAGAGTTTCAAACAATGCTAAAAACCTAGAAAAATAAAACTTCTACGTTGACGCTGTCTTATGAGTAATTGTTAATGACACAACTTATTGGCGGTGGTTGACTGAGTCATGGAATAAAAAAACGTTTGCAAGAATTGTGGCATATTCAAAAATGTTCTTGTCTCAGACCTCGCCTTGTTTACGCCTCAACAGCGTCGCATGTTTATCCATAATGCATTGCGTTTATGTCAAAACGCGCCAATTAAAAAGTCACCTGACATCGTTTGAAACAGTATTCGTGCCACAGTAATGGGCCGCCGATTTAATAGGTTTAGAAAGGGCTGTAGAATTGAAATTAGAATCTGCTGTTATTGCAGAAAAACAATAAAATTACCGTGACGAATTGGGAAAACTAACTGCTGTCTTGCACATGCACAGCTATTTTTAGAAAGTCTATTTCTCCGAGTTCGCTCAAATAATCCTTACCGATCGCATATGAACAATGTAAATGCCATTTACCTGAATGGACTTTGCCCAAACAATCAAGTCAATAAATCCTATTAGAGCCTTTACCCTGGCAAAATAACTAAATAACTTTGATTGATGGCTTGATACAATTTGGAATTTGGGGGTTATTTTAACTTATAGTAATCGTTAATCACTATCAAAGAAGTTTCTATTATATTTTCAGTTATTTTGTTTTATACCTCCATTTCTGTTTTTATGTTTAATTTTCATTCTGGTTTTGTGGTAAATCCATGTTTTACCTTCATAGTTTAATATACGCCTCACAGTGCTACACAAATGTCGCCTTTTTTCCTTCATGCCAATGACGTCATGCCGTAACCTTCAAACCTTCTGACAACTGTTTCATCATACACTAATAATAATTAATAATAATAGTGATTAATAGTTTTATATTTTTATTGCTATATACTGAAAGAAATGGTTATTTCTAAAGATGCAATAAACAATTATTATTAAACTATCACCTCAAACTTTAATTCAAATTGAATTTACAAAAAATAGAATATCTGTTTGAAACCTGGATGGAAAATTTAGCAAATGTCACAAATGTTTTATTACATCGCTGTAAAATAACACATACTTGTTTGTGACGACTGTGGGTTAAAATAAACCTCACATTTGCACACTGTATCGGACCATAACTCATAGTTTGTTAAAATACCAAGAAACAAACAAGAGACCGTACGCTAGTCCAGACATAAGGGTTACAGTTTTGTTACATTTTCATTCTAGTTTTGTTTTAAATTTATGTTTTTGTTGGATTGTTTGTTGTTAAGTTTTATTGTTGTTCTTTTGTTAAGTTATTTGTTATTTCCATCCATTACTATTAACCAAGTTTCTATTATATTTCATTTATTTATCTGGTTTTGTTTTTTATGTTTAATTGTTATTCTAGCTTTTTTCGATAAATTATAGGTTATAAAATTTTTGAATTGTGTTACGTGAATGTGACATTTTGCTCACGTCATGTCAATTCCTGCCGTAACCTTAAAACAACTGTTTGCCAAATCTTTTAAAAAACAGCTGTGAACACAATGTGCTTCCCCTTTCAATGAGAAATATAGGTTTTATTCTAAGTATCAAGGGTCGAATTCTTGCATATGCAGCAACTATATATAGATATTAAATTATCTATTTTAATGTCAAATTACGACCGGGTAACAATTGTTTGTGGTGGGGTAGGTGAGTAGTGTAATACAATCTACTGTAAAGGGGGTAATTATTCACTGGGTTTTAATTTTGTTTATTTTGCTGACTGGAAAATGAGCTAAATTAAAACCCAGTGAATATGTAAAATTTAGCATAGAACACATTATCTAAATGACGAAACCGTGAATTTAAAACCCACTGAATATGCCTGAAATGGTAAATCAGTGAAATTTAAACCCAGTGAAAATTAGTCATTTTACAGTATTACAATTCACATTATCTTGTGAATTCTCGTGTGATATCAAAGCTGATTAATATTGAAAGCCAGAATGACAAACAAAAAATTATGTGACCGGCATTCCGAAGTTACAACGTAGGAATTTAACTGGCAGACCTTCCCCAGGCAACTTTGCCTAATTCTCACAAAATACTTTCCTCGATGTGTGATGTGTTTTAATTAGCTCACCTTTATATCTCGATTATGTTGTGTTAGGTTAGTTGAATACCTCCACGATGCATGCGTGTAATCTGAAAAAACAACCGCAGCGTTTTCATTGTACAGATCCAAAAAAGCCTGGGCCTGTGTCTCGGAGTATGCCTCTGCGACATATTGCAGCGTAGCAATGAAAACGACTAGCAGACTTAAACTCGCGATCGAAGACATTGTAGCTGGAGCGGTGAGAATTTAACCTATTCTAAGCTTGTGGCGATGTCACATGACATCTCAAGTATATGGTATAGCTGTTGAGTGTTTAGTCTCAAGATGTTGATTAATGTGCACTGCGATAATAAATGCCACATTAATTTATTAAAGCAATAAACAAATGTTTAAAAAAAATGCCACATTAATCACCAACCAAAAAAAACGTCTGACACTGACAAATTTGTTTATTTAAAAAAAATTTCTCTACTATATAAACCTTTTGGGGAATATATATCTCCTAAATCATAACATGAACATATATAGATTCACTTAAAAAAAAAAAAAAAACATTTAAAAAGAAACGTCTTTATACCGCTAGTAAATATTAGAAGGTAAACGTAAAGTGCATAGTAAAAGAACATAAATAAAGCGTCCAACTATTTGCACAGAATTGAGTATACCGATAGTGGGTTACTGTCATCTGATAAAAAAAACGCATAACACATTCTTGCATCTTGTTATTACTGCCAGTATGAAATAAACAATCTCTTTAATCTTCCATTTACAATCGGATTTTAACAGCCTGTACACCAGCTTATTTGCTATTTCTATTTTTACTGACGTACTAGTAAACAAACTTCAACAACCCACTGACGTATATTATACACTTGACACAAAAGTCTGACATTATAAAGGAGAATACGATCGTGCGCTTGTTGATAGTTATTAAAAGAGATTATGTTAGGGAAGTTTCCTTTAACCATTTCAGTTTTCGATCACCTCATATTTGTAGTTGTTTCAAGTGGCTATAGCTGTAACTAATGATTTTTGTTATTCCTAATAAAACATTTTCTGTATCATTAGTTACTATTATTATACATAGACCGAAGTAATTTTGCGAGTTTTTGGGTGTTTTCTTGCGGCAGCAGAACCATCCCGGTTTATGTGTTGTTACGTACGTGTGGGTGCTGTTTTGGGACGTGGAATGAATTCATTCTTAGTAAATGGGCATTTATTGAGAATAAAGGATCTGACGGGTACCAGTAAATAGTGATCGAAACTGTCCGCTATCTCAGGTTAGCAACTGTTAACAACAGAGACCAGGCAAAAAGTAATTAGCTAATCAAAGTGATAGCGAATGTGTGATCAAGTCACATAAAATAATGAAAGTGAGAAATAATAAAGACAGCAAGGAGCTTGAAGAAAAAAAAACGACATAACCGGCAATTCATACACCGATGTCTGCGAGCAAAGTTTAGTTTTGTTGATTGGCCGTGCTTTACATTACTGTACTATATTGAAACACTATGCGCCGCCAACGTCGGTCGATGGACACGATTCGGATGGCATCTAGAACAAGTGACTGGGGAAATTCAATGAATGTACAACCTGTTTGTTGCTATGGGAACTCGTATTTTCGTTGTGGGCTAGGAAAGCTTGCTGTCACTATGAGTAACATCTGTTCAGAATATAAATGCACTGCTTTACATGCTTTCTCAGTCACTCGTTCTACGTATGAAATTAATAAAATTACTAAGCAGTAATAACTGCTTTTTAATTCAATGGCTTTCATCAACAAAAAACACAGTTATTGCTCTGTACTCATTGCACAGTAACATCAGTTTATACCAGATATAATGCTAAATTCAGCCTTCGCTATATCATCTTAGCAACAGACTTCTGTGAAGACAGCTTTCAGACTTTTAGTCCCCGTTCAAAACGATGAAAACCAAATCCGTTCATTCTGTCTAGTACTTTATATGGGGCATATGCACATTCAGTGGTTTACCCTTTCGATCAAAAATGGCAATGCCTTGTCAGTTTTCATTCACATTTGGTACTTACATTATGCATGTTAGCATTATACATGTGATAATTTGTTTCACGATCTGATTCGAGATGACCGACTGGTGGCCATCATGGTTTTTTGAAATTATTGTATCCTAGATATGTTTCATTGTTTTTCTTTCAAATTCAGTACATAGGTTGTAAATATTAGGATACATGTTCATGACAATTCATTTCACAATCGGATCGAAGGTGGCCGACTGGCAGCCATCTTGCTTTATAAAAATGTGGTATC